CCGACGGTGCTGGGCGCGGTGGCGCCAATCAGCGGCCATGACCAGCTCTCGTTCGGGCAGGGGCAACATGGGCAAGGGCAGGTAGTCAGTAGGTAGTGTTCGGGCAGCAGCAGAATTAGCTGCTGAATGGTGAGGCCAGCCGCTCGAGGATAGCATCGGCGGGTGGTCAGGCAGGGAGCACGGCGGAGCAGGCGTGAGCGTGGTTTTGATTACTCTGGTCGCTCTAGTTGTGTGCTCTGTTCATCTACATCCGTTTACTCTATTGAAACTGATAAAAGACGGTCAGCAGCATGACAAAAGGAAGACAGAAGAACAACAATCTGCTGTTAAGCATGCCTCTGTCGATCAGGATTCGCACTCAGTGCTTTCTACAAATGATGAGAAGTTGTTTAGCACTACCGCGCCTGACATCGTCAGCAGCGAGGTTTCCAGGTCAAAGCCGCCGTGTCGTCAGAGAGAATGGCATGACCGGCGGCTGTATTTTTGGGGCGTCGGAGAGATAGGAATCGTGATTTGAAGGTAGGGAAGTGGGGAAGGAGAGATCTGTTGCGTTGAGATTCGGACGCGAGTTGGCGCATGCTAGAGTGGGTCTCACGGCTAGGTCCATACAACCCGGTCGTATAGGATTTTTTTCCAGAGAGAAGAGATGCGCGGGACCCACCTATAAGCGGCACAAGGCACGACCCCGCCATTGCCAACGTGATAAGTGGAAGCGCACTTCACAAAGTACGTTTACCCATGGAGTAAGCGTATTCTGCCTCTGCTTAGCCAAAAATACGTTTTCGCTATATGAACGCGTTTTCTCTGAAATGCGCTTTCTCGTTTTCCAGCCACCGGCCGAACCCCCTGTTTTGTGAACGATCACCCATTAGCAACAAAAAAGCACATATTTTTATTTGTTTTTTTGCTAACGAACGAACGGCCGTATCTTTTCAAACCATGACTCCAAATGAGGTGATTCCAAAGCCCACTTCTTCATCTCGTCGAGCCTGTTCTATTGGTATCATTTTCACCATGTGTTAACATTCTAAAAATGACCATTATGCACTTGCCCTAATCAGCCCCTTCTGAGAGAGAACATTTTCCGGTGATTTTTTCTGCAAGCTTCTCGCACTTCTTCCCGGTGAATCCATCCCTCCCAGGCAAGCCACACCCACCATTTGCATGATTGCAATGTAGTGACATGGTTTACTTATTTAAACTTATTTAAAATATTAGCTATGTGTGATTTGTTCATGGCATTTCGGAGTTGTTTTGATCTTGCTATTGCCATGATGTTGCTTGGAGTCATGGACTAATATTTTGCAGCTTATGTGGATGACATGTTGCCATTGGATTATTAGTGGCTTATATTATGGTTATTTTCATGATGGTAGTTGATATTATGCTTTGGAGTATTACTTTGGATGTCATGTTGCCATTGGATTATTAGTGGCTAGTATTATTTCATCCTGATGATAGTTGATATTATGTTTTGGAGTATGATTTTGGAGATGATGCTTGCATGTGGATCTTAGCTGGATAGCTTGTCCTTGCTATTGGAGTATTAGTATTATCGTTCTTGGATTCATCATGATAGTAGTGTTATGCTATCCTCGGAGTATTTTGGTATGACAATATTTTGCTTTGGATGAGTTGTTGGATATTGCTATGACTTGGATTATAGGTTGATAGATGACATCAGGGTATCAGATATCACTGTTATATTTTGGGGACAAATTCCGTCATTTCGTTGGTCAGGTGCCACCTAACCGGGCTTTTCCAGTGCAACCACATTTGCCTTTTATGGGAAGGCCCTAATGTGGTCTATTGTCATGACTCTCGCCGGTGCCTCTAATGAGGGAAGGTCATGGGCATGTGGTACCCTGGCCTGGTAAACAGACATAACCTTGTGTGCTCGTGGTTGGTATTGAGATCTATTGTCCCCGTTTGGGACCATTTTTGATTTTGCCACGACGGTGGTCGTTGGATGTCTTTGGTAGACATCGGGGCCACCCATGACTTAGCCCAGAGGGGAGTTTGTCGGAGTGGCCGGGAGAGTGTCATGGCAGTAGATCGGTTTTGTTGGAACACCGTTGGTCCACCCGAATGGGAGTGCGAGGCCATGGGTTCCGTGGTGTGGGTACAATGTGCTAACCTCTATAGAGTGTGTGTGTTTAATCTATCGGTAGCTGCGTCCTCGGTCATGGGCACATTTCATACTAGGTCACACCATTCGATCAACACTCACATGACGGAATGACTTATAGGTGATTTATACAATGATATATTATGAGCAGTAACAGTTTGGAGGATGCCAATGATGATGTTGAGATGATCTTGAGGATGATCATTCAGTTGTTATGTGGTCACGAGGTGATCATGTGGATGTTTTGATCACAAGGTGATCAGGTGGATCACGAGGTGATCGAGATGGTATATTACTTGGCCGGATAGCCAATAGTGAGATGGTTATTGAGATTGGAGATGTTGGTTTATCAGTATTGTAGTAGTTTCATATCATGCTTAGCAGGTGCTTTCATATCATAGTAGTTGTTAATTAATTAACCTGTTTAATGCTATGTTGTTGTCTTGCCTTGATGCTTTTGGTTGTTGTGAGCTTGCAAGTACATTCAATGTACTGACCTGGCGTGTCATGCCAGATTGCAGGTGATGCCATGATTGATTGATTGCTTGTCGAGATTTCCGCGCGTGCGAGCTAGATCGTGTCCCAGCCAGAGTCCCTGTGGAGTTCACCACATTCGTCGTTGTTTCGCTGCTAGAAGTATTCCGCTGCTACGAGTTGTCCCGCTGCTAGCATAGAGCAAGTGTAGCATCGCCGGCGTAGTGTCACCATGCTGATGTGATTCTTTGTAACATCAGACCCTGGTATTATTATCCTTTGTAATAAGAGCTGATTTGTTCTATGTCAAGCAGTGTCGTATTCTAGACACTTCTCCTCGATCTCTGGGCTAGAATACGGGGCGTTCCGGTTTCTTTGAGCCGAGCTCAAAACCTCATTTTGGTCACTTTTACACACTTTAAGTTTGATGTTTTCATTTAGTCCAAAAATTTAAAATTTCATATATCATATACATTATCAACATCTTTGTTGAATTAGTGCACCCACATGATTCACAATTGTGTTAAGTGTGTTGGGACACAAGAGATTATATGTATCATGATCACATGCTAGATAGTCAAGTGTTAGCTACACCGTGGATGTCATGCGATAGTCGAGATTGCTAAAGGATTATGTCGTCTAGGAAAAACTTTTGAAGGCGGGTGGAAGAGACAACGTCTGAAGTATTTGATAAGCCCTATGAGCCAAAAAAACTAAAGTTAAGCCTAACTTAACACCCCATATCTCCTCGAAGATAACAGTGCCATGATGCTTTCAAAGATACTGATAGCACGTGAACATGAAGGTGGATGATGTTCAAGTGGCGACCCAGGTGTTGGTGGGGTAAATATCATTGACCAATCTCCAAAAGTGATATGCAACATCGTGACAGAAGATGAGATGATCGATTTTCCATCAACATGGTAGAGGGGGCATTCACACTAGGCCATATATATGACGTGCTTACAAAGGATCAAAGATGAAATTGGTTGACGATCTTGTGATGCCATCGAAGCATCACAGGTGGTAGATCTGCCATCCGCAACTGGTTCATAGAAGAGGCACTCTATGATATGTAGAATATATTGTCAATTGATTTGACAGTGTTAAGACATGTCTAACAACATTGCCAATTAGTTTGGCACGAGGGAACAATCATGAATATTTCACATACAATTTACTTGATCATTGGAGGTGTTGTGCATTGGTAGGATCAAATGCTTAATTTGTGTAGGGTTAATATGCCTCCCAACTAATGTTAATATGCATCTTATTGACACTAGCTATGATCAATCTAGCTTTGAGTATTGACAAAATTTAAAGAACGTAACCTTTTTAGTTATTTTATTATACCCGAGGGAGGATACAACATCACAACATGATTGGATTTACCCTTATCCACAATAACTGAAAAAATAGCAGGTGCATTTTATTATTCAAAGGTATAAGTTTTTTGCAATTGGACGGCTATAAGTTGAATTTGGTTTGTTTATCATTGGAGGCGTTAACATGACGACTACTCAACCTAGTAATGAATACCGAAAGATGATATTATGCTCCTAATATAAAATCAATGTACTATGATGTATACATGTTGATGTATCTACACATAAATTTATCAAAACAATTGGCAATGGTATAAGTATATATTTGAACATCAAAACTATTTGATGAACAAATAGTAGTGGCAGCAGCAGCAGTGAAGGTGCTTTTTTAAGCTCTCGAGCTCAGTTTAACTGTGTCGTAGTATAGTAGTGCACAAAACAAGTACCATGCCATAGTTTGCGATATCAAGCTAGGAAGTAGTGCACAAAGCAAGTACCATGCCATTGTTTGCGATATCAAGCTAGGATTACCCACCTAGTCTCACTGCAGAACTTCTTCTCGGACTTCCACTTGCTTAACTGTGACATCTCTTGCATGAACCGGGCCTTGATTATTCTTCTCCCTAAGAGTAACGAGGCGTGATCCCCTGCGGATTTCCGACCCATCTCACTGCAGAACTGCCCTATTAAGGGTATTGCTAAACTTTTGACCAGTCGTCTAAAACCTCTAATCCCTCTCTTGGTCCACGCCCATTAAACAGGGTTTATCTTTGGGTGCAATATCTCCGAAAACTTCCTCTATGCTGTCGATATTCTTCACTGTTGTGCCAAACGCAAAGCTCCCACTCTTGTGATCAAACTCTATTTCCGAAAGGCCTTCGACTCTGTTTGCTGGACATCGGTTCTGCACACTTTAAAGATTAGAGGCTTCCCCCATTGTTGGTGTGACTAGATCAAAGCACTCCTTGCCATTGGCTCCACTACCGTTATGCTTAACGGAGTTCCTGGTAAATGGATACAGTGCAAAAATGGTCTTCCTCAAGGTGACCCGATTTCCCCCTACCTCTTTATCATCATTGCAGACATCCTGCATCAAATGATTATAAAAGCTAACAATGATGGCCTCTTATTTCACCCCCTTTGCTCGCATTTACCCTGCCCCGTCTTGCAATACGCCGACGATACCCTCATCATAGTCAAAGCTACTCTTGATGCCGCTAAACTCTTAAATGCTATCCTAGACGACTTTCCTGCGGCCACTGGACTCCAGATCAACTTCACAAAAACGACCTTCATTCCCCTAAATGTTGGCCCTGATGAGGCCGCAACCCTTGCTGCTGACGTAGCCACCAACATGGCCTCCTTTCCGCAAACCTACCTCGGCCTTCCTCTCTCCCCGCATAAGCTACCCCCGTCGACTTTCCAACCTGTTATAGACCGCTGGGACACTTACCTCTCCGGTTGGTGCGCTTTGCTTCTTTCTCGCGGAGGCAAACTTGTCCTTCTTTCTGCCATCCTACATAGTTTGCCCACATACTTTATGCTTTGTTTTCTCTCCCCGCCGAAGTTATAGAGGCTATCGATAAATGTAGACGCACCTTTTTCTGGTCTAATGATGAGACTTGCTCCGGAGCGAAATGCTTGATTGCTTGGGACAAGGTCTGTACTCCTCGAGCGGCACGTGGTCTAGGTGTTAAGAACTTACATGCACAAAATTTTTGTCTACTGCTGAAATTTGCTTACAAATTCCTTCATGCCAACAACTTACCTTTGGAAGGATTGGGTCCTCCACCACTCACCTCTCCACATAGGGCTTGGCAAGAACAGCTCCTTCCTTGCCAAGACCATTTTTAAACACCTACAGAGTTTGAGAGAGATTTCCCATTGCACTGTTGGCGATGGACGCTCCACCTTCTTTTTGTTAGATCGTTGGCTACAGCCAGAACCTCTGGTTGTAGTCTTCCCAGCTCTTTCCTCCCACCATACCAACCAAAATGCACTAGTAGCCACTATTTTACAGGATGGGATCGAACTTGCCCTTCGTAATCGTTTAACCTCTACTGCGATCGCAGAGCTTGCCTCTCTGAACTCTTTGTTGCAGGATGTTCTCCCCTCTTGGGTATCGGACTCTAGGCGGCTACTTAATGGAGATGCTTTCTCTACCCGGGGAGCTTATGCCACACTATCTGCCCAGCTTGCTGATCCGATACTCTCGGCTATTTTGGGAATCACGAGTCCCAAAGAAAGTAATGATATTTGGTTGGTTGCTATACCTTGATCGGTTGAACACTCGGCAGAACCTGCGTGAGAAAACCACCCTGGACTCGGATGTCTGCCCTCGGTGCAACAACTCGGTGGAGGATCACGACCATCTCATCTTCTCCTGCCCAACTGCTCGCCGGATTTGGCAACTGCTTGGTCTCCGGCCGCTTGCCACGCCCATCGCTGATCTCTTCTCCACCACGCTCCCGTCGACGTTGCCTGCCACCGTTCAGCCCTTTATGTTGCTTCTCATTTTGTGGAAGATTTGGGATGCTAGGAACAAGAAGGTGTTCCAGAACCTTGAACTTGATGCAACCCAAACTCTAGTTGCTATTCTAGATGATTTAATTACTTGGTCTCGCCGTCTTAAGACTGAGACACTACGAGGACACGTCGGTCTGTGACGTGATTTCCTCTCTTCCCGCAATTTCAAAAAATATTACCTACCCAGTAGTACAATAGGAATCGTTCACCCGGGCACAATAAAAATATGATGTATAATAAGGTGTTTGTTAGTCTTATCTCTAGTAGCTAAATATACCATACATGGATGCACTTAAATATGCTGTCAGAGATAACGTTGCTAAGATATACTTATAAGAAACAGAGAAGGTAATTCATTTTTCTTCTGATTTATTTCTCCTTCATGGTAGAACAAACTACCAACACCAAGACGAAGGAAAAACAAACACAACGATGCATGATTTGTAGATGAACCCAGTCAGGCTATCCCCAGCTGGCCATCCAAACCACAAAATAGGCCATATCAGCAACCTGCCGATAACCTAGGGAGACTCAGAAGTTTCACCGAGCATCACTCTCCTCATCCTGGGAAAGCCACAAACCCGGTCTCCAGGACGAATTTCTAACGTAACACAGTGAACACAGGTACACAGAACACTCCCAGTGACATGGTAGCATACAGTAGCACTGACAGTGACATGGCACCATTTCTGGTCTTGCAGCTTAGTGATGTGGGAAATCTAAAAAAGACATTACGATGTTACTGAAGATATTAAACGGATGTCCAAAAAGAACCTACATCGATCGATTCTATGCTAGGAAGCATACGGATTGACCACTCATCTTATTGACTAGATAGCACTAGCACAGCACACTAACAGAAACACATCTACTTCACCACCCTGCGTGCGTCACACAGTTCACTCATGAACTCTACGTTACATCGAACAACTCTTACATGTCGGCGGAGATCCCCTCGTCATCGCCGGCGGCGGCGGCCTGGATGCGTGGGGGAGTACCGCGGACGGCGCATCTGGCCCGGATCTCGCCCCTGTCGCCTGTGAGCAGGTCCATGTTGACCATCTTGGCCATGGACCTGGCGAACTGCTCAAAGAAGGCGTCCTGGTTGAGCGAGAAGCGGGTGGCCATGCGCTTGGTGGTGGGGTGGTCGAAGAGGCCCTGGTCCGACTTGAACAGGCCCTGCCTCGCGATCAGGTCGAAGTAGTACTTGTTGTCGAAGACGTCCGGCGTGCGCACGTCGAGGTTCTGCTTCAGGGTGCCTTCGGGGGTGTCCTTGGCGCACTTGTTCCGCAGCCCCGTGGCGAACTTGGGGTCGATGGCCGGGTTCGTGTCGAAGCCATTCTTGAAGCGATCATCGAAGGCCGGGCAGTGGGCGACGCCGAAGGTGTGCGCGCCGGAGAGGGCCACCAGGTCCGTCACGTTCAGGCCGCGGTCGCCGAAGGACTTGATGAGCTTGTCCACGGGGTGGAAGGGCGCCGGCAGCAGGCCGACCTGGACCGGCGACGCCGGGAAGAAGGAGTCGCGCCGGCCGAGGGCGACCTCGAAGCGGGGCCCGCCGGCCAGGACGAGCGACTCGCGGGTGGCGAGCACGGTGATGTCGGCGCACGAGACCGTGCGGCTGCAGGCGCTGTGCACGCGCATACGGATGCGGTCAATGAGGTCCAGCGCCACCCTGCGGAGCGTCTTGTTGGGGATCTCGTCCTGCTCCGTGCCGGGGCCCTCGATGAGCACCGACCCGTCGCAGCCCTGCAACATTATTATTAGGGTAAAATATGTCATGCATTGATTTTGATACATACATACATACACATTTTCGACATGGATACGCACCTGCGGGAAGCAGTCGTGGAAGAGGATGCGGATGAGCGCCGGCGCCACGCCGGAGTCGTTCTTGAAGGCCTCCCCCACGTGGAACGCCACGATTTGCTCCAGCGGAGGGCACGTCACCGCGTGGAAGTCAGGGGACAGACCCCCGGCGGTCGCCGCCGAGAGGGACGACTGCACGGCGCAGACCAAGGCCAGGACGACCACGGCGGCCGCCGCTGCTCTAGACGCCATTGTTAGCTGCTAGCTCTGTTGCTCTAGCTGAGCTTGTTGCACCTTCGTATGAAGGTCGTGTGGCTTGCACAAGATACCCACTACCCCTCGTTATTTATAAGCTGAACGGCCAGTTACTTCCTAAGCTAGCTCGATGTGTGTGTGATCCACACGATCGACTAGTTGAAGAGAGAGGGAGACTCATTACCAAAGTGGAACGACAAGGTGCATGTGCCGGTCGCATGGACCAAGGTCGGAAAAATCGAATGGTGCCGCGCGATTGACGCAGCTAGGCAATGGCAATGGTTACCGGGGCCTCGGCACGTGCCACTTCCTTCAACTTTCCTGCATCCTGGTTTGTATATGCATTTGCAGCTGACAACCCACTAGACACATACTATATATATTTTTTTTTGCGATCGACACATACTATATTTGTAAGGCAAAAGGTACATCGCTCGACTGATTCCATGCATGGAATACCGAGTAGGGACTTGTTAATCTGGCAGCGGCATGATTTACGGATCACGCCAGCTCCGGCATCGATCCAAGTTTTATCTGCTTAACGGATATGGAATCGTTTTGCACGACGCCTAGCTACAAGCTGAGTCATTAGAGGTGTGGTTAGTTGGGGATCCACAAAGGTGGCGTCTTATCTCTCGAACGATGCATGCAAAGTTACGTGCCACTTGCACTCTTGCACGACAAAAGCCGCTGCAAGTTCGCGGCCCGGCAACGTGCTGCTGCACACTGTACCATTACATTACTACTCGTATATTACAGTAGTACGGAGTAGTTTACTGTTGGCTACACTGGATCGGGTCAGTCATGGCCGTGAACGCGTGCGTCCTTACCCAAAAGGTCATGCCTCTTCGATCGTCGCGCGCCCATCCTTCGGTAAAGTAATGAGTCAGATGAAATGAAAACTTGTTCTTTCTTCGTATGTAGTTCATAGTAAAATCTCTAAAAAAAATTATATTTAGGAACGGAGGAAGTATAATCGAAAGTGGGCTACAATTTAATTGCGTCAGCCGGGTTTTAAACTCAAGACCTTTTGGTTTCGATACTATGTAGAAGTACATGATCTAGCCAATGCAACCAAAAAGCCGATCTGATAGAAAAGACTAAACAATATATTTATACATTATAACACTTCCCTCCAAGGATGGAGGATACCAAATCATTTTGAAATTTGAATCCAGACACGTACATGTCGAGTGGTTAGCTACACCACACGTAATAGTATCCTAGCAGGGTGACCATGTTTTCTCACCCAACCAGCTCTGTCACCCCATCTATCCAGATCGACGCCCTACTGTCCTTCGGTAGCTACACCACACGTAATAGTATCCCAGCAGGGTGACCATGTTTTCTCACCCAACCAGCTCTGTCACCCCATCTATCCAGATCGACGCCCTACTGTCCTTCGGTATGTTGACGACACCCTAATCATACCCCATACCTCTCTCGAGGCCGCGGCTAACCTCAAAGATATCCTCCACAAGTTCGTCTTCGCTGCAGGTCTCACCATTAACTTTCACAAAACTACCTTCATAGCCATTAACATCGATACCACCTCGAGGGTTCGACACTCCATATTTACCTACCACCTCCATCATTGAAAAGTGTCATGACAATTCCTTGCACTTGGGGATTATCAAGCTCTTTTGTGGCGCCGTTGTCGGGGAGCAATAGAGGGTGAGCATTTTCATATATGCCTGCTTGCTTTTATCACTAAGTAGTTTTTTTATTCTTGTTCTTGTTTTCTTTCTTTAGTTGTGGGTAAAATTGTTTTTACAAAAAAAAAATACAAAATACAACTTTTTCCTACTTGCACCTTTATACCTCCTTTAATGGCTTTAAAGAAACCACCGCCTGGGGAATAACCTAGAAATTCTAGAGAGTCTTTTTATTATTTTGCGTGCCTTCAAACTTTTCAAAAACAAAAAAAAACAAAGTGGGGAACCTGATTTTTTTTAAAGGAGAAGTGATTTGCATCGAAGATGTGATGGATCAACCTTGAACACTTGTATTCGTGCTGATGGAAACAATGTAAATCTTTTCATGGAAGTTTCTAGACTTTCAACATTGTGAACCAAATGGAATCGTAATATAAATTAAACATATGAATATAAATGGTCCAAAAGCAATTCACAATACAACAATCGTTTTCATTACAACAAAAGTTCAAATTCGAATAATTATTACAACAACAAATTGTTCAAATGACACACAAATACAATGAATAAAAATGAGGATCTATCCACCATAGAGTTGCCAACGATGCTCAATAAGATAATGCTGGAGTTGGTTGTGTGAATCATAGCTCTCAATCTTCCGGCAGCGGCGGCAGGTGTCAAGAAATGCAGTGATCTCTTCTGCGTCCCTAGCAGGCTTCACATGGCTACCAACATTGTCATAATAAAACTCTAAATCCAAATACCTCTCATCCTCGATGATCATGTTATGTAAAATTACACAAGCAGTCATGATGTTTTCGGGGGATTTTTTGTCCCTGAAGCGAGTGGGACCTCAAACAATGGCAAATCGAGCTTGCAGCACACCAAATGCCCTCTCAATAGACAAGCTTCTTGTGCTTCGGCAAAAAAATTTGTGTTTCTTGGTTTTGGGGTCACTAATGGTCTTCACAAATGTTGACCATGAAGGATAAATACAATCGACAAGATAGTACCACATGGATAGTCATGGCGATTGACGGTATAGTTGCAAGCAAGAGCTTTGCCACTAACTAGCTGAGCAAATAGATGATCACTGCAAAACATTGATATCATTGAGAGACCCCGACAAACCAAAGAAACAATGCCAAATCCATAAATCATGTGAGGTCATGGCTTCAAGCACAATGGTGTGTTTACATTTGTGGCCGATATATTACCCTGCCCAAGCCACCGAGTAGTTTTTCCACAACCATTGCATGCAATCAATAATACCTAGCATGCCTGGCAATCCACTTTATTCGTTCATTGCCACGAGCTTGTTTGTGTTTTCCTCATTTGGAGCTCAAAGGTACTCTGGGCCAAAAACCCTGATCATTGTCTTCGCAAAGACACTGATGCATTTGATGGTGGTATCTTCTCGAAAGTGAAGATATTCATCCACGTAGTCAGCGGGAACACCATATGCAATCACTCTTATCGCCGCCGATATTTTTTGATATGCACTAAAGCCAAGCAAACAGGCGACATTCCTGGGGTGAGTGAAAAAATGGATATTCTGCTCGCAAGCTTCAACGATGCGCACGAAAAGAGACCTGCGCATTCTGTATCGCGTACGAAATAGATGAGCCTTGAACACTTGTGCATTGAAGTGATTGAAAATGTGTGCATTGAAGATGTGAGGGTCGACCTTGAACACTTGTCTTCATGCTCATGGAAACAATGCAAATCTTTTCATGGAAGTTGCATATAAAAAATAATTATCCCCTTATATATATACCACCGTACCATAAAAATAAAAGAGCCAAGAGGTTTGCCTTTAGGATGTTGCAATTGCATGTTTGTTAAGTGTTGTGCAGAAACATAAATTTTTACTCAAGTATTTGAATTTCTTATCTATAATGGAACATGATCAATTCCTGATAATTTTACAGAGTATTGAATTACAAATTCTCTGCTGTGTCCTAATTTTGTAGAATAGTTTGAGTCACAAAAGTATGCATCATAATTAAATTACTATAGACTCATCTGGTTTTGGCAGGTTGTTGTTATAGTTTTGTTATCAGCTTGTTCTAGAGTTTTCATGGCTTATATTAGGAATATAAATTGTGAAAACAATATTCTACAGTAGCTAATGTTTGAAAATAATTATCCAACTTATCTTGACAGTACATGATTGGGTGATTTATTTTCATCTGTACTAACCTCTCTCACGATTTCTGTTGAGTTTTGTGCGGAAGAAGCTTTTAAGGTCGGGTGTAGACATCGAGAGGGATTCAAGGGACAAAAAAATACCTAAGAAATTAAATCCAATCACATCAGTCTGTGCATACGGCTTGGCATAGGATCTTGGCAACAGTCGTGTCTCCCCCGACCTCGAGATTCTAACCATCTATATCTACGCCGCTGCCCTCGGCTTTGGGCACACAACTCGCATTCAACATGTCGCTCTCCTTGTGCTCCATGTTTTAGGCTTTCTTGGTCTTTTTCCTCGGTTTCCTCTATTTTCTCTAGTTTCCGTTGTTTCCCCGCCGGTTTTCTTCATTTTTCTTTATTGGTTTTCACTAGGCTTTTTCTTTTTTTCCTCTTCTTCGTTCGCTTTGTTTCTCTCATATACTTCATTGGTTTTATTTGTTTCCCTTTGTTTCTTTCTCAGTTTTCATAACTCTTCATTCTTTTATCGTGGTTTTCTTCGGGTTTTTTCTTTGGTTTCCTTTGTTGCTTTTTTAATTTTTGTTGGTTTTCTTTGTTTTTCTTTGTTTCCTTGCATTTTTTTCTTCATTTTTCTATGATTTCTTTGCTTTCTTTATTTCTTTCCCAGTTTTCGCTGGTTTTTTCTTTCCTTTCTTTATTTCTTTGTCTTTCTTTGGGTGTTTTTTGGTTTCCTTTGTATTTCTTTTTTTTCTTTTTGGTTTTCACTGTTTACATTCTTTAGCACTGTTTTAATGGCAGTAATATTCCTTCAAATACAATGTAAATTCTATGAAAACATCAAGAACAATTTATTACATGTTTACCATTTTTAAAATACAGAACTAGTTTTTTAATACAATGTATGTTGGGTATATATACCACTGGGTGGTAGGATGGATTTTGTATGTCTACTTTTATACAATGTATGTTGTGCCTTTTTTGTATACATCGGGAACATTTATTTCATACGTATTTAACATTTTGTAAATACATGATCAACATTTTTACATGCACATTGTATACTTTTGGTATACATATTCGATACATGAGAAACATTTTTTGTATACACATTTTTGAAATTCTTGATTAATATTTTTCAAATACTTGATTACATTTTTATACACATTTTAGATATGTTCTTATACATGAGAA